CGCCGCTTAATTGTGTTTAGTTGTGATAGAAGAGTTGGGGTGGGGGGGGGGGAGGAGAGGCAGACTTGCAGTTTTTCAGATATTGCTGAACTACAATGCCTAGCAACCTCAGCAAATATATAACCAGAAAGAGTTAGGCAACCTGGCATTCTCCAAATATTTTAAACTTACTCCCAGCCAAGGAGCAAGGGATTATGGGAATTGTAGTCCAAAACACTTAGGTCACATTGGAGTGCCTATTCACTGTATAGGGCTTTGGCTGGAGGGATCAAATCTCCATTCAGAGGTTTGGTCAGTATTTTACATTATTACAGAAGTAGGATATTGCTTATTTTAATAATTAAATGTTGCAATTGCTTGGCAACGTGGGGTGGGTGTCTACAGGAGGAGGCAAGGGGATCAAGGATAATCATGGGTATCATGACATCATTGTGCAAATGATATAAATGACAAAGTGTACCTCATTTGCATGATGGCATCATGATATTATCATGGCTTCCATTGAACCTCTAAGCAACATAGATATAAAATTATAGTGGTTACACATGGTACAAGGGTTTTATCCTTATAAAGGATAACTCAGATAGCCAGTGCATTTAATAACATTACCTGTAACTTGTTTGTTCACAGTTCTCCTTGATATAGGAATTAACTGACACACGTAGGAAAATAAAGACATATGCCGAATACAACAGAATTTTTTCTTATTATGCTTAGACAACTCTTTTTTCCCTGACTTTCATTTGCCCCTCCTTCAGAGAACAAAGATTTGCTAAAACAAGAAAGAGAAGCTTCTTCTACATTAAATATGACTTTATAAATAGAATTCCTGTCCTATTCCCCATTCCAAACTTAAAAAAAAAGAAAAAGAAATCTCTTTGGGAGATATGACTAGATTACTCAAATTAAAGCTATTTTCAGCTCATTCTCTCACCATCAGTTTTGTCCTCAAGCATTTAATTTGGAGTGGAGTAGCAATGATAGCTCTAGGTCAGACTTCCTCAATCTGTGGCCTCCAAAAATATTGACTACAAAACCCATCACTCTGATTTAGGCTGGTTTAAAAGTTGGGAGCTCATGCTATAGTTTCACTATCTAATGAATAGCTCCATTAGACTTTTTAGTCATGTCATGATGATGATGATGATGATAATACTCAATTGAATGGATAGATCAGTTAAAAGCTTTTATCAGGTAATAGTTTTGCTATAGAATAACAGTTTTAAAATGCGAGTATTTATTGTATAAAAGCTGCTGGTGACAAGACCTATTTTAAAAGAGACGTTCCTTTTTCCTCTCATAGAAAAGAATCTGTTTTAAAAAATAACATTACTTGTTACTTAAAAACAAAGGAAGCTGTTTTTTGCTTGAAAAATATCATTCTTAATTGGCATATAAAATATTTGACTGACTATCCTTTTAAGAAAAACAAATCTTAAACATAGTAAACTTATGCTGGTCTATGACTGTAATAAAGATTTGATTTGATCTGAATGTAGTAAACAGGACATTAATCACATCATATCCTTTTATCATAGCCATACTGTTCAGGAATGATGGGAGCTGTAATCCAATGTGTCCAGATGGCCCTGGGTGATTTAAAGCTGCTTTAAAATAACCCCATCTCTTTTCCTCTGTGCAGGAAGACAATCACAGCTACTATTTATCCCGAATTTATGGTCCCGAAGAGATGCGAGCCAAGGAACTTTGGGTTGAGGTGGCTGAAGCTAACAGGAGCCAAGTCAAAATCCATGGAATCCTGTCCAATACACACAGACAGGCTTCGGTGAGCCATCTCTTCTTCTAACCTTGCCAATCCACCAGCAATATGTTGACTTATCTTCCAGTATCTTTTGGTACCTGAACTCTGTAAGTACATTTTGTTCTGCAAGCCCCATTTTCTCTCTCTATTGTACAGAATAGGCCTAGAGGGAGAAACAAGAAAATGGGTAGTAAAAGCAATTAAAAAATAGTGAAGAAAAATGATGTCTGTTCAGAGAAGGGCCTGATTGGAGAATCAATTTTATGTTTAGTTACATCATCTTGGCAGTAGCTTCATCTCCCACTGATAAAAAAGTCAGTATTACAAGGCTAATATCTACTCATCTTTAATGCAGCCAGAGAGGTAGTAATGTGTTTATGGCAGCAAAAGTAACACAAATATTGGATTTACACATGTACTAAGCCATAATGTGGTTTGATTTCGGTTTAGCATGAACTTACCCCAACCGCTGTGATTTGTAAGCCATAATTTATGGCTTTGTGTGAATTTAATCAATTATAGCTTGTTTGATAAACCAGAATTAAACCATGTCTGAGCACATATTTGAATCCAGTCAGTCTTACGGTTCTTTAAATACTAACAAATTTATGATCTAAGTTTCTTGGATGTAATCCATAAAAACTTAGACTGGAATAAATTTGTTGGACCTCTCAATGTCAGAAGACTCTGTTCTTTTAAATGTGAGATCAGCATGAGAAAAAACAGTTATTGTTTTGCTAGTAACTATTATTCTTCGGCATTATTTCCAGTGACCTGGAGATGTGGCCAGCAAATTAATACCAAAACACCATTTTATCTTAACATTCATTACAACATAAAGCGGTTGTTGTTTTGTTGATTATGTTAAAAAAGAAAAAAGTGCCTCAGACAGAGCTCAAAAACCTTCATCATAAATTTCCTAAACTCCAGGAGGGCTGCAAAGAAATCAAAAATACCAAAAATTCACATGAAGTTTGTTATAACTAGAACATTAATACTGAGCAGTTGGTTTGAAATTAATTTTAAGCTGACATTGTAATTTTAACTTTTTTGTCTCAATGGTTTTACAATTATCCCCCTTTTAAATTTTTGACCAGATATACTGTGTTAACAACCCCCATTACTGCCATGCTGGCAAGAAAGATGAGAGATATAAATAAGCAGGAGAGAGAGAGAGAGAGAGAGAGAGAGAGAGAGAGAGAGAGAGAGAGTATCTATGTATATTTTCTCCTTCATTAACCTTAAGGTAAAGCAGAGATTCTGAAGAGAATGTGAAAAAAAGTCAAGAGGGGCCACAATGGTTTTTCTGTGTGTTGCGTATGCAATGAGCATCAAAATGGACAGAGCTTTGATCATCTTGACTTTTTTGCCCACATCCTGAAGATGCCCCTGCGGTAAAGCCTCCTTTGAGTCACATGCATCTCTAGGGCATCTCCACATTGGATCAACATAGAATCCTCAGTATCTTGGTTATGTTGATGGTGTTGGTTGGCTTTATCTCAGCTCCTCTGTTATTTATTGTTTTTTATGATATTTTTCTCTTGTTTTTTATTCTCATAGCCACCCAGAGTCATATGTTTGAGATGGTTGGCCATATAATTAAAGAAAGAAAGAAAGAAAGAAAGAAAGAAAGAAAAGAAAGAAAGAAAGAAAGAAAGAAAGAAAGAAAGAAAGAAAGAAAGAAAGAAAGAAAGAAAGAAAGAAGCAGTTGACCATTGACACCTTCCAGGATTGATTTATTTAGGATTGGCTTCTCTAATTAATTTTCTGATGGTTTCACATCTTAATGCTAACTGGGTCCAAATCTGCTTATATTTTTCAAGATTAACCAAGGCAGGCTAGGTGTTGCCACATGATCTTTCACTAGGTTCTAATTGACTCCTATTCTTTAAACTTGTGTGTGTGCATGTATGTATTTCCATTCCTTGGTAAAGAGCAGAGCAAGCAAACCTCTGAATCTCCTTGTTGCTTCCCTGCAGTTCCCCAGAATCACATCACTGAAATTAAGTGGCAAACAACTGAACTACAGCAGTGCAATAAAACAAAAAGGAAAATAGGGTAGGAAGCCTCTGACGGGTTTAGCACACCTTTAATTCTTACAATAATCTCACACAAACCTTCTAAAATCACATTTTAAAAAGAAGAACATTTGTATTTGCTCTCTCAGATGACACCATCACATCATTCCATCATCTGTCCCTGATGCAGTTGGCCAACAAAAATGTCATTTTTTTTAAAGTGCAGATCTCAGTCACAAAACTGATAAAGGAGAATACAGATACCATGTACGCTGGGAGAAACATTTTGCACATATACTCATCAACTTTGGGATTAATTTTCAGCCCAAAGGTCGATAGGGGATCTATTCTCCAGTCAGAAGTTTTGAATGCAACCATTCTGAAAAGAGAAGCCTGTGTATTCCACTGCTCTAGTTTTTCCCAACAACATTTCAAAGAGGATAAAACTCTTTTTTTTTTTTTTAGGGGAAAATGTAGCAGCGGCTATTCTAGACTAGAAAAAAAGGTTGGCTCTATTGTATAACCTGTGAGGTCCCTTCCATGATTTTATAAAAATCTGTACCAAGAAATATGTGTTGCTGATGATTTCATCTTCAAGGAAATTCTAGGCCTCGTGGCATGAAAAAAAACCAAAACTTTAAAATACGTAAGCAGAACCTGATAGCATTTCAGAAGCCTGAGGATTCTGTGTTCTGCTACGTGCAATGGATCACACCTTGCCTTTCTCTGTGACTAATGAAAATATAAGACTATGCCAAGGTACTTTTGCATAAGTACTCAAATTACTTGTTTTTCTTGGTACCAAATTTGGTTTCCTCTCTCTCGCCCAATATAAATACCTGTGAGTGTAAATCTAACTGGCATTTTCTGTTCATCTTAAAGCATTAAGAAACACTGGAATATTTCACCCAGCACAACTCTTGCCTCTAATGCTGTTTTTCCCCATTATTCTTCTACAGAGAGTCATCCTGTCCTTTGATTTCCCTTTCTATGGGCATTACCTGCGGCAGGTCACCATAGCAACAGGAGGTGAGCCTCTCTGGGTACAACACTGGTCATAAGAGTTGCTGTTTTTGCAAAAAGCTTACAGGATATGAGGAATTATCTACAGCATGCATTCTGGAGGCAGTGTTGCACAAACAGTTTAGACTGTGGTTCTCAAATGACTGCAGTTGCTTGACCTGAGCCATGAGTTTTTAACTGAAGCTACTTAGTGGAGGAGTGAGACTGGGAAGTGTAGGTTCATGCTTGCTCCAACCACTTATTGTTGCTGAGCAACAAGCCCAGGTGCTATTCCCTCTTTCCTAAAATAGGGAGAAAGAAGAGAAGGGACACCAATGTGATTCTGTGAAATGATCTTTCTTTATATTCATGTTTGTCTTAGCCTACATTTCCTCCTCACCGTCATCAATGTCATCTTCTTCTAAGAGCCCAAGGTGATGTACATCATTCTCTGCCCTCTCCCCACCCACCATTTTACCCTCAAGACAACTTTGTGAAGTGGTTTGGGCTGATAGGTCATAATTAGCCCCCAATTGCACTGTTGACTGAATCCTTGAAATAGCTCTCTGGCCAGCCAGAGAATTTGCATAGTTGTCCAAATCTGGACTGCTCTGAATCAGCTCCTTCAGTTGTTAGGCTAATTATGAAGCCTACACGGGCTCAGTTGGTGACAATGTCATCTGGGTTCAGGGAGATATAAAGTTCATCTTGAGCAAGAAAAGCAGTATATTTGCTTGTTTTCCCATCATATTTGTCTGGCTGGGACAGGTAGTACTTGGTGTCAGATGACTGTGGTGGCAGCAGCAGCTATGTCAGTCTGTAGTAGTTGATAGAGGTGTGCAAAATTTGGATCCAAAGTAGGCAAAGGTGCTTCTGATCTGGCGTGGGTACCCTAGCTGTATCCAACAGCGGTTTCTTAAAGAAGCAGAGACTGAAAAGACTCAGAGACTGGTCTTGCATAGTAGCAACACAGGCTTAGGAAATTACGTGTTGGGGTAAAGGAGGTATTTAGAAGGCAACAACAGATACGGCAAGGAATCCATAGTTGATTCTGTCCCACCTGTTGAGCATATTAGTGCAAACCTTGGGCTAACCTGTCCATCTTAGCTGCCATTTGGTTCTGATACTGGAATAAGATGGTTAATAGCCATTCTGTTCATCCTGGATACTTAAGCAATGGTTCTCCTCCTGCAATGATGGGAGTAGAAGTGGACAAAAAAAGCTGTCAGGCTCCCCCAACCAGGACCTGCCACTAAATCACAGATCTCTGGACACTTCTCAACTTAGCTCAGCTCTTCAGGTAAATCTAGCAGAAGTCTCACAGACATGGCTCAGCTAGTTAAGAATTTTTATTACTGACAAGAATGAAGGTACAGTATGAAAACAGAGGGGTCCATTGACCAAGTAACATCACACCAGAAGCCCTGCCCTTCAATGAAGCCCAAAAGGGGTAGGGTTTGCATGACATCACATGAAACTGCCTGCAAGCTACAGATGTTTAGGAGCACACATAGGTGTCCATGGGTGGAACAAAGGGGGTGGGGCAAATGACAAGTGTCATGATGTATACATGTGACTTGCATCTGACCTTGGGACACAGATGCAAAAGCTGGGGTTTGTGCTGTGATGTTATACAAAATGTGCAATGCACGTTTTGTCATGTTTACACCATCGCAATTTGTATTGGGTGCCTATGGGTGAAGTGTTGAAAAGTAGAATTCTGAGTGTTTCATATCTTTCCTTGCATAGCCTAAGCTATCTTATAGGTGCAGGAGAAAAACATGTCTTGAAATGAAATTAACTTTCTGTCAGCTTTTGTATGGGGAACAAGAGAGGGACACTATTTAATCCTTCACCTCAGACAGTAAAATAGTTTGGATTAATCCTGAAGAAGAGACGGTGAATACAGCATTTCCCATAGATGGGTGGGCCCCAGCTAAGTCACCCTCCCCTCCCCTCTTACAATCACTTTAAAACCAGCATAAGTTATTTTGAGAATCTATTCTTGCCCTGCCCGCCTTCTTCCGGTCTGATACCATTTCTGATTTCCACCGTCCAGCACACTTGCTTGTGGTGACATCTGGAGTCTATCTCTGGAGATCACTGGAATTTCTACTTTCTCCCACTTTGTGTAAAATTACCACAATGATCAGACTAGCAGCAGTTGTACTCACAGCCTAGTTCCAAAGAGTAGGATGACTTTCCTCCTGTGAGGTCTCATAATCCAGCCCTACCTTTAGACAGAGTGATGTGTTGGGCTGTTGATTTGTGGAGAATTAAAAGGACAGTCAACCACCAGCCTTCTATTATTCTTACTGTTTTCACTGCTGGGGGGTGAAAAGAGATGAGGCATTTTTACTCTCACATGCCCAAATAACTGGATCAGACTTTGGTACCATGCTCCTTGACTCGGGAGGGGAAACAACGGTGGATCACGGATGCTGGGGATAATGGGAATCATAATCCAACGTATCTGGAAAACATAATATTGGAGAAGGCTGATCTAAATGGATCTGTCACCCATTCCCCACAGCAACACAGAAGGAATGATGGGGGATGAGGATGGTGGGAGCTGCAGTCCAATATATCTAAAAGGCATCAGGTTGGAGACTGCTAGTATACGTCACTTTCTTTTCCTCTTTCCACAGTATCCTTGTGAGGTTAGAATGAGAAGTGGAAACCAATGACCAAGAGGACATCTAAACCCTCCTCTTATGCATTGCAGTATACTGGCTCTGGGGTTTGTAGGAGAGAAAAGGCATTGGAACTATGGATTATACCCAATACTTATAAAAAGCAACGATGAAGTCATTTGACTTTGAACATGATGTGCTCCTCCCTATTGTTCTCTTGGCAGGTTTCATCTTCATGGGTGATGTCATTCATCGGATGCTGACAGCTACGCAGTATATTGCCCCACTGATGGCAAACTTCAACCCTGGCTATTCACGCAACTCCACTGTCAAATACTTTGACAATGGTGAGCTGTTGTGATATTTCCTTCCTTGGTAACTTTCCCAGGCATAAATCATCACTTCTGTCCCACATCCATGCAAACTTGCCCACAGCTACTTATGCTAGACTGGACATTTATTTTTGCAAAATGAAATTCAAACTCCAGAAAGTCTCAGCCCCCACCCTACCCCACCCCGCCACTTTTCCCCCCATATATCAAGGCTGGCAGAAATTCCCTATTTTTGGTGTATATATTTTATTTTATTTTTCCTGCTTAGGATTTATTTGTTGGGGAGTCATAATGAAAGATGGTTGGAATCAGGCTAATTAGATGTTTTGTTCTTGGCTGATGATGACTAACTCATAAAACTTTTTTATGATCATCTGTATATGGTAGATCTGATTTACAGCCTAGTTTTTTAGAAAGAGGCAAATATATAGAACTACAAATGGGTAATCAGTGTGTGTGGGGGTGATAAATGCAGGTCAGTTATTTTTGCTAGCGCCTGGTATCTCTGAGTGTATGTGCCTGGGACACGGTTGAGTGCCTGGAATGATTGTTACCAGGGTTACCACTTAATCTGTGCTGATGTTCTCATAAAGTTTTTTCAGTCCTGTTTTCTTCCCACCCTACCTTATTTTTTGTTGATTAAGGATAGATAGTGAGAGAGAGAGATAATTAAATGCTGTGCATATCTCTGTAGCACATGCTAGTAGACAAAGATACTGCAAAAGGTTAAAAGGCCTGCAGAAGCAGGTGGTCCAAATCTATGGGGACTTTTTCAGTGGTTACTAGTTGGATCCCTTGGTTGGTTACTCATTACTAAAGACATTCTGCACATGCTTGGAAGTAAATTTCAACAAGTGAGCAAACTAATTCCTTTCTTAATAAAATTCCCTTGGGTATTTTCTGTTCATGCTTAAGCAGAAGGACAAGAAATGGGTTTAGGAAAGGCTTTCTACATACATAGATTGGTCAGATCCATTACTTCATGGATTTTGTGAATCATAGTAGACTATTAAAGTTCCTAGTCCCCATTCTAGTACTTGCTTTTCTTTTCCCCTTCTACTTCCAAAGGAACTGTGTTTGTTGTCCAGTGGGATCAAGTGTATCTGGAAGGGAAAGAACACAAAGGCTGTTTCATCTTCCAGGCAGCTTTGTACAACAGTGGCAGAATTGTTTTTAGCTACAAGGAGGTGAGTGTATCCACGCTGGTGTAGAAAGGATGACTTTTTCAAATGTTCATCAAAGTCCTGGCCATCTAGAACAAGGAGACTTCAAAGAGTGGGCAGAAGTGGACTGGTTTTCTGGTTTTTCTTTGACACCAGTAATTGAAATGTCTATGCCTTCTCCTCTTTCCTGGCTCCAGATTCCCATGTCAGTGCTTGAAATTAGTTCTACACAACATCCTGTCAAAGCTGGTCTCTCAGATGCTTTTATGATCCTTAACTCCTCCCCTGGTGTGCCTGGTGAGTCTGGCAGACTGTGAGTGGAGGGGGAGAGGAATGGGGTGACAGAAAACAGAAGTATGGTACATATACTGATTCATTTGTTCATGACTAAACAGGGTCTTAGCTTCTAAGACACAAAGTCCTTGTTAAAAATATGAATGTTTGGGGCTGCTGTCTGTTCTACAAAGCAGAATGAGATAGCAGACAGAGAAATCACATATTTAACCATTTCCTTAGCTAAAAGTTCCATGCTAACAGAAAGCAACACAGTAGCAATTTCTACCTGATATGGTTATTACCTGTTTTTCAATAAGTTTGCTTTCATAGAAAAATACTGATAAAGGCATAGGCTGGTTTCACATGACATGCTAATTAATCATGGACTATGTCCTCACAACACGTTAAACAATAATTCCATGATTTGCAAACCTAAATGAACTGAGTGTGTCAAGTGAACCAGACCATCACATTAAGCCATAGTGTGGTTTGTTTGTTCATCTTAGCATATTATGTGAACCTAGCCATTGTGATTTGTCAACCATGGTTTAGAGTTTAATATGTTGTATAAGATTTGCTTGTCTTTGGTTTAGCATGTTATGTAAGTCTAGCCACTGTAATTTGTAAATAACTCTTTATGGCTTACATTCACATTAATTCAATAGGCCATAGAGTTAAAGTCCAACCTTCCCCAAACCGATATCTTTCAAACATATGAGTCCAACTTATCTCAAGAAGGTCAGGCTGAAGAAGGAAATCATTTCTTCCATTCAGGAAATACTTCCTTCCTCTACTTGAAGAATCCCAGAGCCAACCCACCTTTGGTCGCTTGCTTCATTATTGAACTGCTGTAACTGCAATTTCTATCATGTAAGCCCATTCAACCATTCACACATCCCAGTCTGTGCAGAAAGTCTGCTTAAGGCATGTACATTGACTTCCAAGCTGCAGCATGAGTAAGAAAAGAACAAAACCTTTGATTACAATGAAATAACATCCATCAGCTACAAGACCAGTCAATTAATAGTTTTAGTTAAAAGTTGATTTAAAGAATGATCCATATGAACAGCCTATTTAAAAGGAATGAAGATAGTGGGAACCAGACCTAAGAATAAACCAGAATTGCTGAGAATTCTAGCTTATTGCTCATGAGCAGAAATAGTTTTTCTGTTCCTAATTTGTTAAGACGTTGACATGCTAAATTCTGGGGATGGATGATGGGGAAAGTTGCTTGTGTTCTTGTTGGTTTCTAGTTGATTTAGCTGCCTCAGTTGGCAGGAACAATTGGGCAGCACATAATGGACCACAGTTCTCAGCAATTCTTGCTTATAATTATATATGAATACAGAGCCACAGAGAGAGCCAGATGCATTTTCCAAACAAGAGAATTCCACAGTGATATAGTTCTGCTGCTGTTGTTACCATTACTGACCCACAAATACTCAGTCAGACTTCATAAGCAAATCTCTGAGGTAGCTTAGACTTCAGGAAATCTAAAGCTCTCCAGATATTTTTGACTTCCACCAAACCCTGCAGTGTGGGGTTAAAGGATTATAGGAACTGCAGTCTAAAACATCTGGAGGGTTCCAAAATTCCTGTCCTTTATCCAGGCATTGCCTATTATGTGAATTTAGCTTGTTTTAGTCTTTAGAACCAGCTGATAGCTAGTTACATCTTAATATTTAATTGTGTAAAGGTTGGTGGAGATGTGTGATATGGCCACATCCCATAAGAGACAGTGTGGAATCCGGATCTAATTTAATATTCCCCCTAACTATTTTAGAATCTCACCATCGGACCATATATGAATATCATCGAGTGGAATTGGACATCAGCAAGATCACTAGTGCATCAGCTGTGGAATTTTTGCCCCTACCCAGTAAGTTGCCACCCCAAGTTGCATTACCTTGCATTCTCTGGGCATTGTTCTTGCAAAGGCAGAAAGTAATCAGCCATGCAAATGAGGAATATATCTATAAGCTTGGGATCGAAGGAAGGAAGGAAGGAAGGAAGGAAGGAAGGAAGGAAGGAAGGAAGGAAGGAAGGA